ACACTCTTTTGGGACTCTTAATATTAGTTGGTTTGAAGTTGCCTAAAATTCACAGATGTTCTATTCTTTTTTTATAGTATTTTTCTACAAATTTTCATGCTAGATGATATTTTTTTCTTTATCCTTGCGTTCAGACTGAAAAATCTAACCTGCTGTTAATCAAATGTAATGTACTTGCAAACCAAAGTCGTTGTGCCTTTTCATTTAAAGGTGTTATGTGTCAGTCTTTACTTTTCATATCTCCTACTGTTGTATTTTCTTTTACCCTGTTGAATGTAAAACACATGTTAATCTTCAATACTCCTGCCTATTGCTTCTGTCACATGTATCATTCCTCAATCTGCTTCCATTAAGTTTTTTTCTCCTCTTTATGGACAATATTTCTTTTCTTGCATATTTTATTAGATATCAAATTTCTAGATTCTGTGCTGGTGGAGTATTTGCAGCCCTTTAAAAACCTCTGGGTTTTGTTTGGTGGTGCAGTAATTCTATGGAAACAGACTGACATTTTTAAGCATTGCTTTGAAGGTTTGTAAGTCATATCTAAAATCGCCTTTCATACATAGCTAATTGGCCCTGTGGCTGAAATAATATCCTTGCCAGGATTTTGTTTCTATTGGCTGGATAAGATCTCTCTATTCTGGCTTGTGGAGACACCACCCATTTTTAGCGCTGGTGAACTTGGCTGCCTCGTCTTAGTGGCTGCCCCTAGCCGTGGACAGGGTCTTAGGACAGGTGACAGCTCTATTCAGGTGTAACTAGGATTCCTTGCAGAAGACTTTTAGGATGAGCCAGTATAATGCAGAGATGGGGTTTATTAAGAATTTTTAAGTAGAGTATAGGCATGAAGATTGAGGGTTGAAAAAAGGAGGACTCTGGAGAAATGAGTAAGACACATTTCCAAAGCTGGGAGTGAGTTTCTTAGAGAGTCTTACAATATCGTCTTTACAATAGTCACAAGTACGGTTTTGGTGGATTTTGAGTCTGTTAGAGAGCGATTTCTAAGGGAGCTAAATGATTGCAGGGTGGTTCCAGGGCTGTACTGACATGACTACCGTTGATCGATAAACGCTCAGCCACAGCAACGCAGAAAGCTAGGACGGCTTCACCATAAACAACTGTCGGTCTTGCTAGAGATTCCCAGAAACTCTGAGACAGGAATGAGGCCCTACCAAAGCCACATACATTCAGGCTGTCAGCCCGGGCCACTGTTATTTTAGTATAGCACATTTATTATGTGAAATGAACACTTTATATGTGCCACCTTCACAGCAAATGCTACTCATGTTGTAACTCCTGCTTCTTGGCTGGTGAGAGGCTTTCCCCCTGACTCCCTAGTGAGGGCCTCATTTTCCTTCCCAGGTCTTCCTACTTTTCCCTGTCTTCCTAGCTTTCCTCATACTGTGTTTGGTTTGGATTTCTCTTTATGTATTGCTGCCTAAGAAAACACCTCATAGCTTCAGGCTGGGGCCATCCAGGTCCCTGTTGGTTTCTTGACTCAGAGCCATTTCCTGTTTTCAAAGCCTGGAGTAGTCTAGCAACTGCTTACCCTCTGTCCTTGTGTCTCTGTGTGCGTTTTGTTTTCTTCTGCTTTCCTCAGCCATGTTCAAGGACTGTTGTGATTGCATTGAACACACTAGAACATTCTGGATAGACTCCCTAATTTAAGTCCATCCAATGAGAAATCTTAATTTCTTCTTTGACATTGAGGCAAACTAGCGTTTGTGCAGGGTCTTGTGGTTTACGGTGTGGACATCATTGGGAGGCCCATAATTCCATTCACTACCTGCAAGTCTGCTTTCCAGGTTCTAGCCAGTGTGACATGTCAGGGACATAGGACCTTGTTTCCCTACACAGAAAGTAACCACCATTCTCTTCTGCTGTCAGGACTGAGCTTCTAAATTTGCTGACTTCATCTGTCTCTCAAACCTTTCCCTGATTAGGACTCACGTTAAGCACAGGGAAGGACATTGTTTCGTCTATTTTGTGGTGCTGTAATGGAGCACCACAAACTGGTACTTTATAATGAGCAGGGATTTATTTGCTTAGTGTTCCAGAGGCTGCACAGTCCAAGATCAAGGGCCCCAGACTAGAAAAAGCCTTCCTGTAGTGCTATCTCATGACAGAAGTGCAGGGAGAAAGGACAGTAAGAAACAGGGAAGGAGAGAGGATGGGGAGAGAAATAGAGAGAGGGTAGAGAGCAGAAATGAGAGAACATAGAGAGAGAAGAAGAGGGAGGGAGAGGGGGGAAGGGAGAGAGTGAGAGTGGGAGAGTGAGAGAGAGATACAGAGAGAGAGGGAGAGAGGGAGAGAGAGAGAAACACATCAAGCTTATTATTTTAAGGAACTTACTTCCACCATAACAGGATTAATTCATTCTTAAGAGCCAAGCCTTCATGGTCTAATCACACTTGAAGGTTTTTATCGCTGTTGGAGTAATGATTATGTCTTCAATACTTATGCCTTGGAGAACACATGCAAGCCACAACAGGAGACTCAGACACATGAATTTGACTGGCTCTCTACCCCCTTTCATAGGCTGTAGTCATTTTTAACTCTTGTAGAGGAGCAAAGACTCTTCACAAGTGTCTTCCAAGTTTATTGTATAGGTGTAAGAGTTTATCAGTTATAAAGAAGAGCTGACTAATGTAGCCATTTCTCTTCATGTGATCCATTAAGAATCAAGTCTAGCAGTGTGTGTGGGGGGAAGGTCAAGAAGGTAGCAAAAGGATTTCACAGGAGGTTTGTCAGAGAAATGGGCCCCCACCTACAAATGCCTTAAAAGGCTAAGGAAAGAGGCAGTCGCAGGTCAAGCCAGCCTCTGATTACCTAGTCTAGTGAACACATCATTGGGGCTATGTGTAGCCAGATCCTTCCCTTTCAGAGATCTACAGCCACAGAGCCCAGAGATCACATCCCCACCAACAGATGAACGCCTTGAATGACTGAATGAATAAGCAGTGTTGCAGATGGTGATGGAGAAGGAAGGGAGCTTTCCCCCTCCTCCCCTAGGGCATCAGCCATATGGAAGAAGCTTCCAGCTAGAATTGTGATAATGATCAGGATTTAGGAGCCAGCTGGTTATTCTGATCTAACTGCTCTGCCTCCTCACCCCCGGACTCTGCTATTTCACACTGAAGGAGGAAGACTGTGTTGTTTCTGCACTTGGCAGTGAGGCTGAGCCAGTATGACCAATGGATTGCGTCAAGTCTATGGGCTAGGATGGCAACTAAATCTGCCAGCCTCATGAAAATATGATGCAGCTCCACTGAAAGCAAAAGTAATTAATTTATTTTTCTCTATTAATTTATTAATTAATTTATCTACCTTCCCTCGTCTCTGTGCCTACTTCTCATTCAAGGGCCCTCCCATAACTCACCAAAACAGCAACAAACAACACAACAAAACCTCAATCCAGGAACAAAGAAGAGTGACATAAATGGACAAAGGCAGCCAAAACTGTGTGTGTATCTGTTATCTTGGGTCTAGCCCCCCAAATCCTGGCTTGTATATGTGTTCTATCAAAGTTCTAGCAACAGATTTATACAAACTGAAACTGAGCAATTTTCTAACAGCGCTGGTTTCCTGCATTGCCCTTAGCTATTTTTCATCTTATTTCCAAGTGTTTATTGCATACAGACTACGTGTATCACTTGCTTTCTCAGTAAAATAAATATTATAAAAGGGTTAACTAGACTTAGAAAAGATGGAAAAACTCAACCAAACAAAGCATGCCCTTCACAAACACGGGGCACTCGGATGTAAACGAATGGAAAGGGCTGCAACTGAATCTATCAGAAGGAAGAGCCCCAGCATTAATTAACTTGTGCTTTTGCAGAGGCAACATCAATAGCACACGCATTAGGTCACTAGCGCTTCAAACACCTCATCTGCTTCAGGCTCAACCTCCCTGGTTGGCCACAGCTACTGCTTCCTTTTCCAGGTCCTTACTTTAAGCCACGCTCCCACATCTAAGATTGGATAATTGTTTTATAAATGAAAGCTTCGGAGAACAAAGAACAGCCTAAGTGAGGTCCCAAGGGACCAGTTGGCTGTCCTCCAAGAATCTTGGGGTGTTATGTCTCATCTCAGTGGAATGAAGCTCCACCGAGTGCCTTTTAGACCTCCCCGCCTCGGCTCAGTGTCACTATTCTTGTGTCTCTGTCATCTTCGGCTCCTACGGGCCAGATCTTTGTTGCTTGCTTGGGATTCGAAGGCAAGTATCTGTAAGAGTGCTCGCTGTGTAATGGACAAAACAAATCTTTGAGCCATTTGCCGTTTATGGACGTTGCAGTCCTTCTCATTGGATATTATCCGTCACATTTAAAACACAAGGAAGGATCAGAATTAGCTCCGGCTTCTTGCACAGCAAGAGGAAAGGGTTCTAGCACTGACCTAGACCCATCTAATTCCAAGGCGCTGTGAAAGGATGAGTTCTCTGCCTCTTGTTATAACTAAAGGGGGTAAAATAGATCTAGCTGGGCCTTTGGAGGCACATGGAACACAGAGTCCAGCTTTGGTCACTTCTGCCTGTCCAGGTCTCTAGTCCTACCTAGCAGATGTGGTGGTCACTCCCCCTGTAGCCTGTCAGAGCAGCTTCCTTTACTCAGAACTAGGCTTCTCTCCTTTGAAAAAAGCTGGAGACCTAAATCTCTTGAGCTGCTGTCTGCTTCTATGCCCCTCATTTCCAGGCATCCTGGCACCGACCAAAATTCCCTTTCATTATCCTAGAAGCCTTAGTTGCTCTGATAGTCAAAGACACCCAGATGTCTCCAGGGAGGACCTAGAGAGTTACTCCTTGTTTTCAGGTAAATAATGAATCATTAACGATATTTACATACCAGAACATCAGCCAGGATTGCAATAATGCTAACAAGTGCAGAGCACAGCTGGTTCCCAGGGAGGGTGGGGATGATTCACCACCTTGGCTTAGGAAAGCTCAGCCTCATTTCCTCCCCAGCTCAAGGGGATCTAAACTTCCACTCTTGGCAGCACGTCTTGAAGTGGGAGGGGACCGAGCCTCTCTGGGCTAGAAGAGGAAGTACGGAGCAGACAAGCCCAGACAAAGAGCATCCTGAGCTATGCTCTACTCTCTCTTGGCCTTTCTCCTGGGCACCTTCTGGGGTGGGTGCTCTCCCTTCCGGAAAGCCTCCCTTCAAATCTTTGCTCCCCTCCCAATACCTTTAACTTAAGAGTCTTTGCCCCTCTTGACCCAATCTCCCCCCCCCCAATTGCTGGGATATGCACTGTCTTTCCGCCCCATTTGCAGCAATAACTCTCAGTTTCAGATCTTTCAGGAAGGACTTGGAATTCCTTGTTCTCCCATTGGCCTGGAACGTGTTTTCCATCCCTGGCTCTTCCAGTCCACTGTTCCAGAGCCACATGGAAATGAAGGAGTAACACCTTCACATAGGAAGGCAACCAAACTGAGGGGCTTCTCTAAATAACTATCGCTTTTTTCTTCACAGGTGTCGGTGCTCAGATCATCCATCAATGGCCAGCTTCCAGAGTGCAGCCCGTGGGCAGTCCACTCTTGCTGGAGTGCACCATAAAAGGCCAATCAAACCCCAACCTCTACTGGTACTGGCAGGCGACAGGAGGGCCCCTGCAGCAGCTCTTCTACTCCATTAGCAAGGGCGAGGTGGATTCGGTGTTGTCTCGGAACCTCTCAGCCTCCCGGCCCCAGGATGGCAAGTTCACCCTGAGCTCTGAGAAGGCGCTCCTCAGTCATACTGGCTTCTACTTCTGTGCCTGGAGTCTCACACTGAGTGGGGTGTGGCAGGCATCTGTGCAAAAACCACACCCTTCTCCTTAGTCCTACCACCGCAGCTAGGAGCCCTCACAAGGCATGGGCGGAGGGAGCTTCTGGCGGTGAGCCAAATTGAAGTAAGGAAAACAACATGTCAGAGCTCTTCAAAGAAACGTATTCGATTCCTCATTCAGTGACTCACATGTGCAGAAGCCGTGAGTTGCCTACACATAATAAAGTTTCCAGGTTATGGATATGTGGTAGTAGGATAGTCCTCAAAGCGTGCTACTCTCTCTCATCAAGTACCTCACACTTGTCCGAAATTCCCGTTCAGCCGCACTGGGCAAGCTCATGGGCATATGTGGCTGAAAGAAGTGGACTCCACCTGTAGCTGCACGCGATGCCAGGGAGACTGGTGAGCAGGCAGGGCAACGCCAACTCGTGTAGCTAATTTCATCTCTGAGAGCAACCCCATCTTTCTGCTGAGGCTAGGAGCTTGGGCCTGAGGCATTAGTCAGGGAGGAACAAGCCAGCATTAGACAGCTATGCAGGGTTAGATGCTAATACAGGCAGGGTCTCGGCGTTCTGACTGAGACCAAATGTAGAAGTTTTACAGGAAACGTTCATTCAGGAATTGCCACTGCTCTTTGTTTTTGTAGTTGTTGTTGTTTTGAGACAGACTCCACTGTGTAATCTAGGCTTGCCTCGAATCTGAAGCAACCCTCCTGACTCAGCCTCACGAGCTGTGCCTCCAGGACCAGAATGGTCTTCTTTTGTCATTTTAACTTTGCAGTGTTTCTGTCTCTCATCTCTTCTCTTGTATCAAAACAGAGATGTGGCATAAGAAATTCAGGAGGCTGAGGGTGAAGAGGAGGACTGTGGTGTGTGTGTGTGTGTGTGTGTGTGTGTGTGTGTGTGTGTGTGTGTGTGAGAGAGAGAGAGAGAGGGGGGGGTTTAAAAAGGAACAGTGACTCCGATGGAAATGAAGAAGAAAAAGACTGTGAGTGGTTGGAAAGAGAGAGATACATGGGTTACCTTGGCAACCGAGATTCCTACCATATTTCTAAAAGTGACCCCCCCCAATGTCTCCTTTCTTCCACAAGAGGGCAGAAGAAGTCTTAAAATCCTCTGTTTCTGTTATCATGCACATAACATATCTGTTCTAGGATGATTCTGAACTATGTTTATTTTTAATATTAATTAATGTGTAGAGAAAAAAATAAAAAGAGAGATGGGAAGTGATCAGAAGAGCACGTGACAATGTCCAACTAACTATACTACCCTTGAGGGATGACCTCTGTACAAAGCAGCTAGGATTCAGAGAGCCGTCACAAAGACTAAAGCAATGATATTTATTAAAGACGGCACCAGGCAAAGTCACAAGTAGCACATTTGGCCTCAAGGCTACGTCTCCTAGTTGCTAAGACTTAAGGGGAGTTCTGCAATGTCTCTAGATCTCGTTTCTTTCACCAGTAAATGTTGCCCCTGTGGACTGGCAGATATTAAATGAGACTGTATTTTGCCAAGCACTATAATAAACTCTAATTTTCAGCAGGTGTCCTTTCCCTCTCTGGAAGCTTACAAAGCACTGGGATTGCAGCTCCTCCAAATCATCTCATTTTTAAACATTTACATTGAAAATAGGTAACACACGTTAGGATGCTAGGTGCCCTTGTGTGGCAAATCCATGCCAATTGCCCCACATGCTGCGTCTACTCTAAGCTGGTCCTAGATCTTTCGTGCTGGCACGGTATGCTGCCTCAGGATCTTCGTTCAAAGAGAATCTCCACAGGAGATGCCACTCGTCAGGTGGCACAAGAGGAAAAACTTTAAACAGGGGTTTCATCCCCGTGTGGAATAACCTGCAGATAAATTCTAGAACACTTAACTTTAAAAGGAGAAACAATTTTAGATGGATTTAATACAATTTCATCCCGAACGAGTGGGTTGTTGGAACAGAAACGTCGAGATCTCAATGAATTCAAGATCTGGAAAATGCAGTAGGAAGAAAAACTCCTGGTGATGGCTGCGGGTAACCTAGCACACCCACAGACAAGAAGAGGCTCTTTAAGAAGAGCTTTGATCCTGCTTCAACTTAATGTGCCGGGCTTTGCTGACTCCCCATGGGAGGCCTGACCCATTTTGAAGAGTGGATGGGGGTGCATTGGTGGCAGGACAGGAGGGAGGGGGAACTGTGGTTGGTACGTAAAAAGAATTTTAAAACGTAAAATAAGAAAAGGAGAGCCTTGAAAGCCGTGTACACACACTAATACAAGCTTGTGCCCTGCATTTCGTTTCCTGACACTATTTGTGGGTAAGGCTTCTATTGCCATAGCTGTTTCCATAGCACCCAGAACCCACGAGCCCAGTCGTCATTACTGTAGAGGAAACGGGAAGGCAGTTCAGGATGGCACATCCTAATCAGAGGTGGCACCTCCTGCCAACGCCAGCCTCATGCTTCCTGGTTAGATGCGGCTCCTTTTCTAGGGAATTGCAGGGACTCTTCTTTATAGGTACGCTGACATAACTATTCCCACATATCTCACTCACGTGATTTTCTCACGTGTGTTACTGACGACCGTGGAAGTCAGAGAGACTGTCCTCGAGGATCTCAACCATCATGGGATTGATGTGGGGGACTCCCTGGAGCTTCTTGACTGCTTTAGGAAGGTAGAGAAAGACCCAGCCTTGGAAAGTGACTGACACTAAGACTGGGCTGCTTCAGGTGGTTTTTCCGAGACGGTATGATCTGTGTTGAGTATATATAAGATGGGCAGTTAACGGCACGGCTGCAGAGAAGGATTGGTTTGTTGTGGATCTTGGGACTGTCTTCCCACTCCCACCTTGGAGAGTTTCTGAAGGTCTGGCTTTCCCTTCTTTCCAGTGTGGTATGTAGTTCTCACCCTCATCTTACCCACATGGGACTGGAAATCTGAAACACTCACAGAGGACACACCTCAATCAAAGGCAGCCAGGGCAGCCCGCATGTCGGCAGACGAACCATTTTTTGCCTTCTGTTTGTTATTTAGACTCTGGGCCTGTGACTCGTTCCATGGGCGGAGTCTCGTTGTTCCATTAGTAGAGGGAAATGGAAGATGGGGTTAAAGGAGGTTGGGAGGAGTGTGAAGAGGGGGTGTCAGAGCAGTGTGGGGCCAGAGGAACCCCAGTGAGGTCAGAGCGGTTTTTGCAGCTGTCTCCATGGGCCTACACTGCAGGCTTCTATCCTGCGTGACCTCCAGCAGGTGTGAGAGAGGGGGGCTTGAGCTGAGATACGTGGATTCCCCTTTAGAGACCCTCTTGCTCTTCCTCGCTGTCATGGTGACAGCCAGAGGCCAAGGCAGAAAGGGCTGCAGGAGAAGGGCTTGGGGGCAGGATGTGGCAAGTGCGGTTCCCAAAATGCTCAGAGCATGCGTGAGGGGAGGAACTTTCACAGGCACCCCAGATGCAGGACCTGGTAAATGTCAAACCACATCCTGTTGTGACTCCCTGAGATGGAGATAGGGCAGGTGGCTTGTTCTTACTTGGTGCTGATGTTACTTAGAGATAAACAGCCTGGCAGGCAGAACTGGACTGAGATCACTCCATCCCTCCCCCCATTGTCTTCAGCAACCCAGAGGACCCAACCATGCATCTCTCCACTTGCTGATGTTTGGTGCTAAGCCATTCTTCTTGTCACTGCTTTCTTGTTTCATCCATGGCTGTATATGTCTTTCCTGGAAGAGGTCAAGGAAGCAGGTGTTAAGAGATCCCAATGTGCCCAATGTCCCACAGTTATGTGGGACTCAAGATCAACACTGCCCCTTTCCAGGTCAGGTACCTTGTAGGAGGTGTGTGTGTGTGTGTAGCTGCGAAGAACTTAAACTTCCCCAGTTACCATCCTCTCAATGCTTCAAGGCCTGCAGAACCTTAAACACCAAACCAATAAGGTGCTCCATAAGGAGCCTGAAGACTCCTTATGGAGCACCTTGATTCACGGGAATTGAGGGAATCTGGAAGGCTGGAGGTCGCAAATGAGCAGTTTAGCACCCTGTGACTGGAGACAGAGGAGGGTAAAGAGCTGATTCTCTGAGTTTTAGCAGACGCTGGGCTCCAGGTAGAGTTTGGGGAACGTGGGCTCCATATCAGTCTGAGATCTTCTGTGATTTTGTGAATCACTTGGATGAGAGTAACGAGGGAAAGATGATCTCATTTGAGATAGCGTGAGGATAGAGGGATAAATATAAGGAGCTACAGAATTAGAATCTTGTAGAAACTAGAAAAGTTGAAGAGATGCACTGGAGAAATGTGAGAAAAATTAAAGTACTTTTTGTTCTCTCCCACACCCTCAAAGATAGAAACGCAATGTTTCGCGCACACGGTGGTGATATAAGGCTCAGGAGGAGCGCCTGAGCGAGAGAACCAGAGTTTTGAGTCACAAGTGATCTCTGAGTCAACGGCAGGATGTAGATAAAAAAACTGAAAAGTTACCCCACACAAATGACACCTAAGACCTCGCTAACGAGGGGCCCTCTTCACCTTATGGAGGTCACAACCCATTCAGTGTTGAGTCCTTCCTGAACACACTCGTTTCAGAAGGACAGAAGGATAAAAGTGAGCTGAGATGCTCTTACAAGCAAGTGACTGATTTGTGAAAAGCCGAATGCTCAGAACCGTGGATTCGAGGGGAAACATGAAAACAAAACAAAACAAAAAAACTGGCAGTGTCGAGCATGGAAAACATATTTAGGTGAACATAAATTGCAGCACTTGATAGTTATTGACCCTGTACTAAGAGCTGTAGACATTGCATGGATTGAGTAAGTGATTGTGATTGAGCCTGTTTAACACAAAGGGAAGCTAACTCTTTGGTGGCCAACTACTCAAAGTCATATCTCTGGGGAAATGCAGGATTAAAGCCTGAAACCAGGTTGTCTTGGCTTTGAAGTCTATGTTCACGGCAGGCACAGTTTTTAAGGTGAAGATTATTCTCCCTCATAGGTCTAGATAGTCCTCTCCAAGAGTTCCAATTGCCTTCTGAAGTCCTCTCAGAGAACAGAGCTATAAACTGAGGAAAGTATGCCTGGTGAGACTCATGGATACTTAAGTAGGTAGGAATTCTTCATAGAGGTGCCTGGTGGCTGCAGGTCTTATTCAGAAACGCGGGGAATCTCTCTGTCTGGGGACAGTTAAAAACTACCTGGGAAGAGTGGGAGGGTTTGGTACTGTGTTGTTGTTCTCTAACATGCAGATGGTGATACAAGGTCCAGTTAAGACCAATCTACCATATAGTGAATGCCTAGAGCTGTGACTGCTGATGTGTCCTAGGACTTGGACCTGATGTCACTGTTTCCAAACCTATTGCTTACATTCAACCATGAGTCTGGTTGTAAAACGGTGGGTAGCTGTGCTCATGGAATCAAGACACTCTTACATTCATAGATATGAGCTGAGATAGTTTTCTAAAAATCTGATGAAACTTTGGAAACAGACACAATAGTTGGCCCATTCCAGCTCCCTCTGCTGACCAACAGGTGATGTTTTCTCTTCTCTGAGATACTTTCCCTGAAGTCAGCCTTCTTCAGAAAACACATACAAGAAAGGAAAAGCCTATGGATAGAGAGGGAACGTAAGCATGTGGCTGGGAATGAGGTAATGGGAATCGTTAACTGAATATATCTTGTCTGTTGGAAGGAGATGTTTCAGGTGAGATCTACCATTGTCAAAGCGAATCTTAAAGAGAGGCAGAGTGGTAGAAAATGAAGAGTTTTTTTTTTGATCTGCAAAGATACAGGTTGAAAAGGTCTTTGAGGGGGAGGGGAAAATATCTAGCCTAACACTTTGACATGTTTTGTGTCTGGGCTCAGATTGCCCCACTGAGAACTGGCTTGTAGACTCTAGCTGCCCTTCTGTTCCCCAGCACTCTGCATGGAATTACTAGGCATGCCTACATTGTGTTTTAATACTTCCATAGAGGACCCCGAGCACTAAGCCTCCACTCCCATAACTATCTCTCATGAGTAACTCTGACACAGGACATGTGGGACCATGTGTCACACAGTTCTCTCTGGGCCACTACAAGGAAGGACAAGAAATGGAGTTGTTAGTAGGATCCTTGGAATTCCATCAACTCTTTTTCTGGTGTCCTCTTCTATTTCTCCTTTCTCCCTAATTGCTTCCTTAAGGAAGAACAAGCCTTTGTCTCCTAGATGATCCTGCAGACTCCTGAAGCATCTCCACTCCTCAAGCTTACATAGCCTAACCCTGAGTCCTGTAGTGGGAAGAGCTCCAAGGATACTGGTGCCAATAGGAAAATTCCTCTGGGCAAATGGAGTCGACTCCAGTGCCATCCACGCAGAAACCCTTTTCCTTCCAGGAAATCGTCACTATCAAATAACTACCAGATGTCTCTTACCCTTCATAACTGACAAACCTATAAAGGGTACGAGTTAGTTACTCTCAGAGAACACTGCCTATGGGGAATCCAGCCATGTGTCACAACACTGAGAGAACTTTGGGACCTCCAGCAATTTCTTAGAAAATGTTTTATGGAAGTCTCTTCAGCTGGTAATCATGCTTTGCCTCAGCACTGGTGACACTTACAGAGTTTGCTGTGGACTCTGGCTGACATTTGACCTATCCTACTGACAGACACGTTATATCAGACCTGAGTCTAGAACAAGTGGACCTATTCAGACAAATGAAGAGTCTCTCCAGTGTCTCCCTTTGCAAAAACAACTCTGGACCCAGCTGATGTTCCCAAACCTCTTCTCTGTGCTCTGGTGTTACGAGGACAGTCACAGTTTACTCTCTGCGTCCTGGGATCCCACCTCTTCAGTAGCCTGTCTGTGCTCACTTGTCTTAGATCCTACAACAAACATAAGTAGCCCCATCTCAAATATTTTTGCTCAGCTTGCCCTCGGAGAGAATGGAAAAGATGCCTGGACTTGTCCAAAAGAATCCACTTTGATTCTAGAGAAAGAGACAGAGGCAGAAGAGCTCCACTTCTGAGTGCTGTGAACATTGTGTATTGTGTTATTTGGGACAAAAAAGAAACTGCAGTTAAGACTTGGAGAGAGGTTAGGAGGCTTCGTGCAAAGTGTTAGATGGGGGTTGAGGCAGAGTTTGTAAAGTTACCTCTGTTATGCCCCCTGGACTGGGAGGTGATCTGCTTCTGGCCTTGTGTCTTCCAGAGGAAGGACCTGCTAGCAAGCTCTAGGGTATTATCCAGCACTGCCTCCCACCTCTTACTGTGCCTGCCTTCTGCACCCAAAAGAAAACAGTCACCAAGCCTTCAGACCCAGTTATCTCCCCTCTTCCACTCCTTGTCCAGGGCTAAAGTCTCTTAGTCCTTCACAGGTCTGTTTATTCACACCCTGCTCCCCAACACCCCTCCCTACTCTGACCTTGCTGGCCCACATAACACCTACACTTACTCCAAAGCATTTGCTCTCTCCTCTTGTGTTCTCATTTTCCCACCCCTCTGTGAGAATGTGTTATTGTCTCCATAGATCTAGGCACTGGAAGACATCCTTTTGTGAATTCAGGTGTAGGGCTTAGAACCCATCCCCATTGTTATTATACGTTTTAGCCATCATCGAAACAACTACAGCAAAAAAAGAAATACACAAGTGACCAGTAGAAAACCCAAACCACAAAGCTGCAGTGCAATTTGAGGCATCCAGAAGTCATCCTTTATAGATGCAACTAGAACATTATGATCTCCTAGGCTGAGCCTGATGTGGAACTCATCCTTTCTGGGCTGTGAAAACTCCCAATATAGAGCCCTTCAACTTTACTTTCTGGACACATAATGTCTTGCAAGGGAGCGTAACCTCTAGAGTCATCCTACCCAAGACCCTCCGAAGGAGGCTTTTATTTGGAAAGAGGTCTCCGAAACTGCAGTTGGTTAAGGGCTCAAGACGGAAACGCTCAGGGTTTAAGACGAGTCTCAAATCCAAAGACTTATGTCTTGAAAGAGAGGAGAGGGGCATGCACACACAGAAACACGTGAAGGATGTCGTGTGAAGGCCAAGGCAGAGATGGAGAGGAGCAGACGCAAGGCCAAGAGTGCTGAGAGCAACGGAAAGGAGGAGGAGCAAGACAGGGCCCTCCCCGAAACTGCCAGAGAGCACTGTCCCCTGAAACTGCCAGAGAGCACTGTCCCCTGAAACTGCCAGAGAGCACTGTCCCCTGAAACTGCCAGAGAGCACTGTCCCCTGAAACTGCCAGAGAGTGCTGACCTGCGGACAATGTGATGATTTTGGGCGCAGGGGCCCCCCGGAGCAGCAAGATTGATGTCCACTGCCCCAAACCACTCAGTGGCACTTTGTTGTATAACCTGTTGTCTTGTCAATCCTGGAAAACTGGCCTTTTGTGGAACTTAGGCAGCCCTAGTGTGTTGCTTTCTAGAGGTCCTTTTCCAGACCTTGTGAGCAGCTGCTCCAGGGTCACCATGACACCGTGAGTAAGTACACCATCCTGTTACTGGGAGGATGAAAATTCTGGAATAATTACCTTTGGAAAAACATGCTGCAGTTTCAATGGCTACTATTTGATCCGCAGACTATGGTTTCCAAAGCTATGAATTATGGAAATAATTTACTTATAGTGTCATTGTAGTTATAAACGCATGCCACCGCCCAACCTAAGACCCAGGGACAGTGCGCGGTCTCTCATGGACTTCCTCACCATCCTCTCCTTTCTCTGCTTTTAGACTTTGCTCCTAACCAAACACTAACAACTAACTTCAATGTAACCCCTTCTTATTGTTCTGTGCTAAGTATTCTCCAGTATCTTCCAAGTGTATTTTCCTATTATAATGATTAAGCTACACAGTTTACACTTCTAAGGCAATTGTCTCTGTCTGAGGAACTGCCGCCAACATCCTCAATGCAGGGTGGTCTGGTCTCAGGCTGAGAGGGAAATTCACACACTGGAAGGGTTACACTTCATGTATAATTCTTTAGTCCCTACCTCCCCTCCCCAGACTCTGACCCTGTGTACGTGGTCCTGGAGAGACCCACTGTTCCTAGACATCACAGGTCAGTTTTCCTACTCTCATTGTCTTCTTTAAGACTACAGGCTAGACATGGAGAGTTCCATGGACCTTAAGTTAAAACTTTCAAACAAGGCAGGCCAGAGATATTAAGGACACATACAGATAAAACCCAAAGATATAACAAAAGGCACTGGACTCTGTAATCTATAAATCTGCCTAGCCTCTGCTCTGTGCTGGGTGAGGTTACTGTTAGGGGTATTTTTTCTTTCCATGTCCATATCCTGCTGGTGTTCCAGAGTGTGGTCATTGCCCTTCAGACAAAATGGTTCAAGGGAGGATTTTGAGTAGTGTGCAGGGGGAAGATGCATTTTTGGCAAGGAAGCAGATTTGCTACTCTTTGATCTTCCAGACTAGTAGCCCCAAAGATGCTTCTGAAGCACAACCAGGCCCAGCTGAACAGTTTTATTGGTTAAGCCTGTTTCAGAGTCAAGAAATCAGTCCACGGGAAGCGGTGAGGAAGGATGGACATCCATGGAGGAAGAGTAGAAGCTCTGGATAGAGAACCGCTCCTCAGGAAGGGATTGAGAAGCAGATGCAGGAGAATCAGGGTTAGGATGGAGAACAAACAACCCAGGACGCACAACCAGCTGGTCTCAGGAATTTTTTTTCTTGGCCTGAGGAGGAAAAAGACCTCGTTAGAGCTCCAGAAGCCACGGAGTGAGGGGAGGAGGGCGGATTAGGTAGATTCTTGAGTGTGGTTTTGAAGAGAGCTCCTTGAATTCTCTTCATCCTCTGGGCGGGCATACATAGTTATTCTTGTATTTTCTCTTTGGTCAGTGCCCCCTATGACCCTTTTGAGATGACAGGACATATTGGAGGCTGGGTCCTCCTGTGAGATCCCCTGTCCTTCCATGTGCGGTAGTCTACATCCTCCCTTCAGGTGCTTGTCCCCTCCCACCGTTCTTACCATGGCCATCAGCACCAGGGCGCTGACCAGCACAGCATACAGGGTGGCCTTCCCCAGCAGGACCTCATAGAGGATGGTGGCAGACAGGACCCCTTGTTGGTAGGACGCTGTGGACAGGAAAGGAGAATGAGTAGTGCCCGTTGCCCTGGCTAGCAGGGCACAACGGGCTGGGCTCACGGGTACCTGGGATGGTGGAACAAGAGCTAGAAAGAACGGACAGCAAGACAGACAGACGTTCTGGTCAAGCTGCGTTTAATGAGAATTCTGTATAGGCTTAAACAGGGGAATGTGGCATTGGCCATGGGGCAGAGGTTGTTAGACCAGAGATCTCACCAGGGAGTGCAGGTATTAAGGAAGTATTGTTAAGCAATGGGTTATCTCTATGGCGCCAGGCCATCTGTGGGAAGGCGCCTGCATTTTGGGAACTGCCTTGGGTCAAGAAAGAGATTCAGTGACCTGGTCCTCAACATCCCCTCCCTTACTTTTTATTAATGAAGGGGAGGGGGTCTGGACTGTAGGTCTGAGAGTTGGTAGAGGAATAGGCAGTAGGTGTTATTTATTAGGATCTTAGTGGGAGTATTAAGATGGCTTTTTACGATGTCGCCCTTATATTAGGGCTCTTATAGGTACGAAATTACAAAGGCCATGGGTGGCAATATCCATGAGAGGGCCCTGTCTGTCTTAGGACAGGGGTGTTTAAAAGCCTCTCCCTGTCATTGGAGATGACACTGTACGATGAATATTCCTGTCTTATCAGTTAATCCTGTGAGCCCAGAGTTTTACTCATAGGTTGCTGGGGAGGGGATGGATTATTCTTAAAAAAAAAAAGACTGACAATATTTACAAGACGTTCTAAATAACAACGATCGCTCCCAACACCCGTGAACAGGCAGTTCTGGGAACCCTGGTCCTTGATGTCGTAAGGTTCTTCACTTTCCAGAGCCCAGACCACAGAAGGCTTAGAGAAAGGGGGAGGCTTACTCACTTGCGGTGATGCCACAGTCTGAAAGAAAAGAGAGGGAGGGGAAAAATGGGTGAAATATAATGCCACTGCTTGGGAATCTTGAGCCCTCAACAACAAAACTTAAAGCTGGACTCGAAGGCCACAAACGCATGAAGGTCAGAGGATGTGAGCTCCCCACACCCTGTCTTTCTTATGCTGAAGGACAAGCACAGGACACTGTCACTGGGACAGAGCTGAGACGTAGCACATACATGCTGGGCTTCAAGGACGGCATGAGGGAACACAGCCCAGCGCAGAGGCTCTAAAGAACCTGGGACCCAACAGGTCTGAGCTGCCCCATTAAGTTTAAGTGCTCTGTGGGAGGACATAGACGCTACGGTTTTCTAACACTGTTCTTGATCGTCCCTCCCAGCACTCGGATTTTCTCCTAGTTCTGTGTTTGTACATAGATCTTTCCATCTCTCTGGGGTGCTGTTCAATCTCCTCACCAACACGCAGGTCCCCACTCACCGGCGCTGCCCCAGGCCTCGGCACTGATGTTCTGGGAGACCGGTTTGGGTGAGGCCTCACTCCACTTGTCTTCCTCTGTCAGCCCATAGAACTGGACTTGGCAGCGGAAGTGGTTGCGGGGATTGTGCCAGAAGGTGGCAGAGACCCTCAGGCGGCTGCTCAGGCCGTAGGTGACACCGTTGCTCTCCTTTTTGGGCTCAAGGTCTGTGCTGACTCCGCTGAGGACCTCCTTGCCATTCACCCACCAGCTCATTTCCACGTGGTCAGGGTAGAAGCCCCTGGCCAGGCACACGAGGGTGGCCATTTGTTTGTCTGCGATCTCTGCTTCTGATGGCTCAAACAAGGTGACCTTGGGTGGTCTCACCTTGCTCAGATCCTCTGGGAAATGAAGAGGGTGGCATTAGCATTTTGCTGACCACTTTCTGGTTCTGGTAGAGGCCATATGCATCTGAGAAGGCTGGGTGCTGAGAGAGTTTCTGAAAAAGCAAGCATGTTGTGGCAGGTCCCATTTGCCTTGGAATCACTATTCCCCTTCTCTTTTTCCGTTGTCTGTTATATACATTCATATAGTGGATGTCAATGTTCCCTCTCCTTCTGTCTCATAAGGGGACACTACAAATGGTCCTGCCCAACACCATACACAATGTCCCTTTATTAATACTGTTTTAATCATTAATATTGTTTTAATCATCCTCCATCAAGAGAAGGTTACTTTTGATCTTGATATATAGCAGCTAAAAGGAGCCTGCCACAGAAATCTGAATTACAGAAACTGAATCCCAGCAATGACCTTCCGTGCCCATGGGCCCATGGGAGTGTCTCTTTAATGGCTCTGCATTGGCTTTTTGTGTGTTTTGCTTTGTTTCATTTTCTGCTTGCAAAGTGGAATGCAAAAGCTGATTTCCAGAACTGGCAGGAGGGTTCAGGATATCCTGCCATAGCTGGGTTATCTGTAACTGGAGCTAAGGGGCAGAGGAATGAAGGATAATTAAGCATGATATAGACATTTGGCATAAGGAAGCTTCCCTCAGATCACAATCTATAGGTGGACTATTTTCATTCATGCATGTGAAGATATCTTGGTCTACAGTGTGTTCAGGAGGACGTAAGCCAAAGTTCACTGAACTTTGTGGTGTGTGAAATAAACCTATCCACTTCTCGGCCTCCAAATGTCACCGGCTCTTTGTATTTTTCTAACTGTTCTTTGCTTCCAAGCAATTTAGTGACGATAAAGAGATAAACATACTTTGTTTCAGCAAACCACAGTCTTCTGGATAACGGAGAAATTTTACTCTAACCCTTTCTTATATTTCTATGGATATCATCTCATTCCAGAGCTTATGGCAATGACTTCCAACCTTCATATTTCTTACATGAGATCAAAGGCTTAGTGCTTTTCCTCAAACTCTACAGCCATCACTTTGAAATTCTGTTTCTTTTTAGTATCAGTCTGCACATTTTTCTTGTCTTTTCTTCTTTCTTTTTGATTGTTTGACATGGTCTTCCTTTGTGGCCTATGAAGGCCTAGAACTCCCTACAGAGTCCAAGCTGCCTTGGGACTCATTATGTATGCAGCCTGGGTTGGCCTCACATTTAAGGCATCCCATTTGCCTCAGCCTCCCCAGGGTTGGGATTGCAGATGTTGAGCTCCACACCTGGCCACATTTTCCTTTTGGGCTCAGCATGAAAGTGTCCTAGCTGACCCTTGACAGCTGCCTGGGCTCAGCCTTTATTCCCCAGTTGCCTCAATTTACTTAACAAAGTAGCTAGGACTTTGTGGGCTGGACCTCCATGGAAATGCTAACATGCTTTCTTCTCTCTGTGGTACTTGGCTATCAATTCCCCTGCTTTTTGTCCTGAGTAGCCTCACTCTGTCTCAGAGATACTGGCTTTGAAAGTCTCCCTCCCTTCTATAGGAACGATGGAATGCATTTCTCTGACCAAGTCACTTGGCAATCACCTAGTCCCTGTTGTGAAAAATCAAAGAATTGCCTGAGTCAGGCATGTATTAACTAATACCATAGTCAGGACAAATAAGAAGCAGATACTCACTACTACCTAAGTATTACTCATATCACTCCATGGGGAGGCTGGGAGTAGCTACACATCCACATCCACATCTGGGTATGTGAGTCCCTAAGGACTCCTGGGAGGAAGAATATAGGAAGCTGTTGCTGGCATGTGATTTTCCTGTGGACTAGTTGTGGATTAAAAATTATAGAATTTCTCTCTCCCTCTTTCCAAGTCACCTCCATTTTGGTACCCATAGAAGAGGCTCACACATTAACTTACCTAGTCTTACCTGAGTTCAGCCTTGCCTGGCTCTTTTCTCTGTCCCACCTGACCACAGGAAACCAGTATTTCCTTTAGGCACAACAGACTTTAACATGGCGGAGTCCCCTTGGATCCAGCCTAGCATTCTAACCACAAAGGGTGTCCACTGTTGCTATGGCTATCAAATAATACAGGTTTCACATTCCCAGGCTGTGAGTTATTTCTCTTCTTATAACCTTGGTCCCCATTGCCAAATGTTCGTTAAAGTCTATTCTAGTACTGGGAGCCTAAGGTTGTTCAAGCATCCCCCCCCCCCCATCTCCCAGGCTAAATATTGGAACTTGAACGTGTGCTGATAAGCAACAACCTCTTTTCACGGTCTGGTCTGTCTAGCCTGGAATTCACACAATGAAGGTTTTAGGTCAGGATTCAGGGGAATAACCTGAGGATAATCGGACCCCTGTGAATAAGACCCCCTCCCCCGATTTGGGGCTGACTAGCCACGAGAAGACGTGGGTGCTAGGTGGGTTTTCATCCCGCATCAAGGGATCCCAAGTTTAGAGGAAAAACAGGGTTTGGAGTTTAAAAATCAATAGAACACCAACACCACCAGGCTTTTGACCGTTCTGTCCCGGCTCATGTTTATCTGCCTGCCCTTGGTTTCTTGCCTGGCATTCTTCTCCTTTCAAAAGACCATAGTTTGAACAACTTTTGCTGAGGAGACCAGCCTAGAGGTCAGCGGCACCGCCTCTGGGATCCTCGCTGCCTCTGTCTGCCTTTTAGTTCTTTGCTTTCCTGTTACTTATTTTCAAAAACAAGTTTGTTCCAGAGTCCTGATAAATCCTTTTCTCCACCGCCCACCCAGCGCATGGAAACCTCAGAGAAAAGAGAACTAAGCGGAATCTGCCCTGGCTTGCAAGAGCATCGCTTAGCACCCAATACCCTGCCTCGCGCAGCCCTCCCAGAAGAGGTGAAGTTGAGGGCTGTATCATATTGCAGACACCCCAGGGAGCCCTAACCCCGATCTACCCCCAAACTCCTCCAGGGACCCAGGAACTAAGGCTGGGAGCGCGCGCGAGATGTCGGAATCTTACCTAAGACCGTGAGCCTGGTGCCTGGACCGAAATACTGCTCATAGGAGCACAGAGGCGCGACCCCACACGCAAACCCGCGCAATGCAAACCCGAGCTAGTCTCCAGCTTCATGACAACCCTGGTTACTCAGCCTCCCGCAGGGCCTGGGAACCCAGTGTAAAGACGCCAGCAGCCCCCGGGGCTCGCCGCTGCAGTTGCCAAAAAACTCACGTAGCACTGTCCCGAAAGTTAAGGCAAGGGCTGCGAAGCACAACCGGTTGATTCCCCCCCAGAAACCCACTCAAGGCACCCGTGCCCACTGCAGCCCCAGCCCGTCGCCACCATCACGCGTGGGTCCCCAGCTCACCTAACACGAGGAGCCGCGTGCCTGGCCCAAAGTACTGGGTATCTTGGTTCACGGCACCAGAGGCCAGCACAAAAACACCCCAACTCACCTAGCACTGACAGTCGGGTGCCTGCACCGAAGTACAAGGTGTTTTGACTCACAGCCCCTTGGTACAGCACAAAAACTGGTCCTGACCACCCTTACCTGGGAATCTCGGTAAGGAGATACCCCCTACCCCCACCCCTAGCCCCGGCCCCATCACTAGCTCCAGACTTACCGAGCACGGTCAGTCTGGTTCCTGGGCCAAAATACTGAGTTTCTGCGCTCACAGCCTCCAGGCTCAGGACAAAAACCCGGTGCTGCCCACTCCTGCTATTCCAGCCCTTGGCTCAAATCTCCCATCAACCCAGAGTGTTCTCTTGATCTCAGCATCCAGTCCAGAATTCCTCCCGGCAGGGGTAGGTCAGCTCAGACCCAGAGGAAGCTGAGTTGCTTTTCCTACTCTGCCCATCTAATCCCCCACGGTACCCCTGCATCTGCCCTGCTTACCCAGCACTGTGAGCTTGGAGCCTTCTCCGAAGTACAGCTGCCCGGTGTTTGCACAGTTCTGGGTTTGCTGGCAAAAACCCCGGCTTCCCCCATGCAGGGTCTTGGGTAACTAAAGTGCCCGTTCTGCTAAGGCTTTCTGGTTCCAGGGGGTCTTTCTGGCTAATTATGCTATCTCCCCTGCCACCTGTGTGGCCACTGTCTTCTTACCCAGCACGGTGAGTCGTGTCCCTGGTCCGAAGAATTGTTCAGCATATGAACACAGCAGAAAAGGGCTGCCAAGAATCCGTCCTCCTTCCTCGCCTTAGCACAGACCCAGGGCTACCCACTTTCTCCATCTAATTCCGGAATTGGTAAGGCAATCTGGGCATTGCATGAGGCCGACCTCGATCTGAAGAGAAGATGCAAACGTTTGGCTCGGCAACTAATATCCATCCAATTCACCCTGGGACCGACACAGTGAACTTGAAGTCTGAAGGCTTCCTGGTGGCCTTGAGTAGCTTCTGATGAGAAAAGACTTGTAACGCCTTTCCCACAGAGTGTTTATTCATTTACTTAATATTTTGGATGAGTTCTTAATTTTTACCACGCATGTACAGATACTTGGCCGAGAGTAAGCCTTATGAAAGGAGCGGTGATCCTGCTCCCCTGGACAGGCTTTTGCATTTCATGGGACGCTCTCTGGGGCATGGGACTGCACGGATACTGTAAGACCTTGTGGAACCACTCACAGAGACCCCCCCTTCTCACAGGGCAGATGCATTCCTTGGGCTGAGAGTTGACGTTTTCAGGGGTAGAGCTTTTTGTAAAAGCTCCTCTTCTATTTGAATCATCGTGCCCCCCCCCAGTCCCCACAATGTTACACCACGATACAAAAAAGTTTCTTCCCCACAGGCGCCCTCCCCCAGCCCCCAGCAGGGGCAGGAAGCCCAGGTGGCGGAGAGGTTAGCCTGACTCAGAGGGCCTGGGAAAAGACTAAAGCTGGGTAAATTTAAAGAAAAGGAGGAGCTTGGAGAAGATCATGGTACTAATGGTGTTGCTGCTGGTGGGGGCAGGGAGGCCCTGTTGGGAACGCACTCTCACACTGCGAGGGCGCCTGTGTCACAGAGTCTCCCCTCTTTGACTTACTGTGCCCACCTACCTGCTCAGGAGGGCTTTTTATAGTGAGAGGGGTTGGTGGGGAGGTAGGGGGATGGGGGTGGGAGGAGTGACGCGGAAAGGCCCCCAACAGGAGAGTCTGCAGAGCAGTCGGTACATCTTAGAGTGCAGAGACAAGTAGCTCAGAAACCGCCATCATTCATTCCTGTTGCTTCCCAGAGAAAGCTCAGCTTCCTCATTCACTTATCCCACAAGTATTTAGTGGGCACTGAATATGTGTTAGGTCACATTCTGTTTGCCAGGAAGCGAGTCCGTTCTCAGAGCGGCGTGCGCCGATAAGGGTTTCTCAGCCTTGATTTTTGGCTATTTCTGTCCCTGACTCTTGCACCCAAGTAAAACGGCTAAACTCTGAAGCATCCAGCCACATTGTGTGTGCTTTTTTTTTTTCTCCTGCTTCTGGTAAGGGTGGCCCTGAGCACACCAATGGGGCCACTTCTGAAGACTCTGTATACTGTCATGCCTTTGTCTGATTACCAGCTGCTGAGTGCAGCTTTTGGTGGACAGTTCCCACAGCGTCTTCAAAGCACTGGCTTGCATTTCTGTTCTTTTCCATAGTGACTTAGTCCCTTTATGGACGTATGGGTTTCTTGGGGACTACGGTTTAGTTACCTCTGGCCCCTGGGTGGTCAGTCATATGTGTCTAGTGAGTGGGTGATGTGAATGTACATGTAAATATGCGCGTTTGCATAGCTTGAACTCTGAAATCATCCATAACAGAAAGGGGGGGCTGTTGTAGACGTTGGAGGCCCCACTGGGATGGCTGCATCTAAAGTTGAGTCACTTTTATTTCCCTTACCTTTCACAGGCTTGTTAGAAAATTACCACCAGGTGTCTATCCTGAACCAAAATAGCAGGCGGTATCCCAGGGTACTATAACAAATAATAGCCCAGTTATGAAGGAGCCACCTGCTACATGGGAGGTGCCAGGTAAGAAACGGTTCCCATGACGCATGGTGAGTGTCACGAGGGAGGTCTTCACAAGGGGCCAGACGGTGAACTACAGGATGTGCTTGATCTAGTCATATGGGGTTAGAACTAAGGACTGAGCAACAAAAAATGCTAGAGAAGGCTCCAGGAAGAAACCAAACCCTTAGAGACCAGGGAGAAGGCCATTACAGAATGGCACGGAGGGGATTCGAGGAGCGGGGTATGCGGGATTATGAGGTGAAATGAATCATCAGGTCTTTATGCCATCTTAGGGATGCTGACTACCCCACCATGGTGACAACGAGGACACAGGGAGCTTGCGAAGGGGTCTCTCCGTGTAGAGATTGGGCTCGCTCTTGCTAGGAATCTGTATTTTCTGTGCTTCCAAGAGCAACCTTGGGATGTTGCTTTGAGGAACCAACAATTAAAATTAGTAAAAGTTTAAAAACTGGGTCCTGAATCTACACAGAGAAAGGGAACTTCTAATGAATGGTAAAGGAAATTTAACTCCTTCAATCAGGAGTGCCGTGTCTGGCTCCTGAGCCCCTGCTCTCAGAGAAGGGGAGGTAACTGTCCACCACTCCTGCTAATATTCCTTTACTAATTGCTGGTCATGAAGGTCCCCTGCTAGCTGTAAAGATTCCCTGGCCCAGGAGATAACTGACAGACCCTGTGACACTGTAACCCTGCAAGCCCATGCCATGTCTTATCTCACTCAAATGTATCTTGCTTAAAATACATAGTAACTGCTTGACTCTGTACTTGGTATGACCTTAAGCAACCATGGAAACCCTGAAATCTGTGGCCCTCAACCTGATGGTCTGCCCCTTTAAAAGCTTCTCTTTTTGGCTGGTTGGCATCTCATTTCCTCCGCCATGGAAAGAGATCCAAGTTGGCCACCTTGAACAATAAATAAAGCCTTTTGCTTTTGCATCAGAGTGTCAAATCCTTGGGATATTCTCTGGGCTCAGAGAACCTGGCACAACACCTTTAATTCACTAGGTAATAATTTCCCAACAGATTCGTATCTTAAATGAAAGACGAGTCTCCCACTGAAATACAGTTTTCCAAGACGGTGTACAATTGTGTGATGGTGCGGGAGAGACGCTTGGCGAACAAACACTTGTGTTCAGTGAGAAGCTGAAAGGAAGACTGGTGACACTCGGGGAACCAAGCCTTGCGAGCAACCGGGACTTGACCAGTTGCAGATGGATACATCTGTGTAACCTACAACTATCTGCTCACTAGAGTGCCTTTCCCAGGGTCGGAGATTCCTGTACTCAGAACTCCTCTCCTGCTTGAAAACTTTTAGTTCCCATAACCACCCATTAGCCTCTTCTGTTACTCACTTTCCTTACCTAAGGGGTACCATGGTTTTTGTTTGTTTGTCTTTTAATATCTCTCCTTTCATGATTGATCAGGGAGTTCACAGGCAGACGAGAAATAAAGACGTCTACACACATGAGTGAGAGTCATTCTAGAACATGTTTATTGGTTATATATTTATTGTTGTAAGCGTGCTAGGCACACTCCAGGTCACAGGGATTTCAGATGTGCATGCAGAAGCACACGGCTAGTAAGGGGACTTTGGGGCCCACAGACCAATGACAGCAGCTCTTCAGAAGTGCTGGAAAAAGAGAACCTGTATTAACACCGCAATGGGTTGGAAGTTCTGGACTCCGCCTCCGGGTCTGGACTCAGGAATTCTTCCTTTTGACCTGAAGAAGGAAGACAAGGGTTTTAGATTTACCAAGAGCCATGCATGACGGGGCTTGAGAGGAAGTAGGAAGGCCATGTCCCTGGGGTTTTGGGGTAACCACAGCTTTGTCCTCTGTAAGGCTCATTCACTGTAGTCCTTCCAAGATTTTGCTTGCCTTTTATGGCGTGACAGCAAAACTCTCTCTATGGCTCACTTCTGGTTCTGCAAGAGTCCTTAGAGCCCCTGCAAGGTTTGCTTGCCCATTCCTTACCACGGCCACCAGCACCAGGGCGCTGACAAACACAGCATACAGGGTGGCCTTCCCCAGCAGGACCTCATAGAGGATGGTGGCAGACAGGACCCCTTGTTGGTAGGACGCTGTGGATAGGAGAGGAGAGCAGGTAAATGCCTGGACAGGCAGTTAGCTCTGCAGTTGAGGCCATGAGAGGTGAGGAGGGAGTCAACTTACCTGAGGTAATACCGCAATCTGAAAGAAAAGAGAGACCAGAAAAATGGATGAGATGTCCTCTTATAGAGGAGACTGAATATTAAGTCAGCACTGAGCCTCCCCAGGTGGCCCCAGAACCCACTGTCTTCTGTTGATCGTGAAACCCACGGCTTAGACACCAAAGATAATGATTCCGAGGCTGAGCTGCACTGGGCCTTGGGAAGGAGACCCTACACATAAATGTTGGGCAGGGGATCTCATGGTAGGATTGGCTGTAGCTGTCCTGTTACTGCTTTTTTGCGTGTCTAGACTGCCTGGCTTCTGCCCGAATCTCTCCATTTTTCTTTGGCACTGGTGATGCTCATTCTTCTCCCCAGCTTCTCCCCGGGTCCCCACTCACCGGCGCTGCCCCAGGCCTCGGCACTGATGTTCTGGGAGACCGGTTTGGGTGAGGCCTCACTCCACTCGTCTTCGTCTGTCAGCCCATAGAACTGGACTTGGCAGCGGAAGTGGTTGCGGGGATTGTGCCAGAAGGTGGCAGAGACCCTCAGGCGGCTGCTCAGGCTGTAGGTGACACCGTTGCTCTCCTTTTTGGGCTCAAGGTCTGTGCTGACTCCGCTGAGGACCTCCTTGCCATTCACCCACCAGCTCATTTCCACGTGGTCAGGGTAGAAGCCCCTGGCCAGGCACACGAGGGTGGCCATTTGTTTGTCGGCGATCTCTGCTTCTGATGGCTCAAACAAGGTGACCCTGGGCGGGCTCACCTTGCTCAGATCCTCTGGAAATGAAGAGAGGAGGGCTGCTCTGACAGTTGTCTAGACCTTGTTTGGTCTGTGTGAGGCAGGGCCGGAAATGGTCATTATAATGGACAACCATGCAGTAGTAGGTCCTGCTTTCTGTCACTAATTCTGCAATTCTGCTGTGGGTGTCCTTGATGTTCCCTCTTTTTTATGCGTTTATCTAAATATATGTTCTGTGTACTTTCTTTCCCCATTTTCCTGAGGTGGAATTGTACCCTGAGTTTCTGCACTTTCTCGTAATGCCTCACATACTGTGACTTTGTTTGATGACCTGCTGAAAAGAATAGACCCAGGTTGTTTTTTTTTAAACCATAATCTATGCATGGTTATCTGATCTTTTAGATTTGAAATTAGTGGAGTTGGGAGAGTCTGAATTTTGAGGCAAAAGTGTCATATTGACATCATGATCCTAAGAATGAAGGTGATTTTTTTATGACTGTTTTCCTTTATGAGGTCAATGTATTAATGTGTCTGGGTGATTCTGCATACTATCAACATTTACTATCGCCTCTGAGTTTCTGAATACCTTGCTCAACTCTTCCCACCCTCTCTGCCTTTGCATGTGATTTGCTGCGAGGTTCTGGCTCGTCTCTGGCTGATAGCCCAGCTGATGCCCGATGCTCACTCCTACACTGAGGTGTAAGAGGGCTGTGGTGGCTTGCTCAGGAAAACTACAATCCTGTGGAAGATATTATTCATAGGCTGAACTCTTCTATTTTTTCTGCGCTCAGCAAGGCTCCTTGATGAGTTTCAGAATTCTAGTTCACAGCCCAAAAATGTATTCTTCAATACAGTGAAAGGTTGACTGCTCCCATAAAGTAATCTAAAGCACATAGGTCATTTCAAAAGTGGGTCTCCACTGGACCCACTCACACGCTGCAAGATGGGACAGAAAAAGCCTTCTGCAATTATTGAAGAGAATAGATCCCATTGAAGACAAGAGAGATGCAAGAATTCCCATGCAACAACCTCCAAGCATCCTCCCTTAATGTGGAGATTAATGTCCTCCCCCTCTGGCTCTGTTCTGACACAAAGCAAGGTCCTGATGCAGAAACACAGTATGAGATCTCCTTTCTGTGTCCAAAGTTGAGGACTTATTGGGGAAATTGAGAAATGGGTTTGGAAAAAGACAGTGACTTGAAGGACAGTCAGTAAGAGAAATAAAGGAAGTCACACCAGGTGACCTTTAAAATAATTTGGTCGAGAGAAAGGGGTATGGGAGGAGTGAGAGAGGAGGAAGTCAGGATGGGAGTGATGTAGAGTCAATACTCATTTACGAAGTTCTCAAAAGTAAAAAGCAAAACCAATAATTTTTTAGCTTGGTCCTTTAAGTTAAAGTTAATTTTAAATAGCATTTCCTATTTTATGTGTCTTAGAGAGCCTGGGACAGCTTAGCATTAATTTTTTTAGCAATATCACCCCAGACAGTTCCCCCAACTTTACTCCGCTGAGCCCTAGGCCCTTGAATCCAGTATTCAGTAGTTTCCTTTAACGTCCATGGCATGAGTCCTATCTACAAGAAAATATCTGTGCAAGCTTCCAGGCCTGGGAGGACCGAGGTGTCTCGTTTTTCCACCTTTTTCTATCTCTCAGACCTCACCGAATCCCTCCCTGATCTCCCAGCCTGTCTGCTTCCTCCCCTGCGTGGTCTTGGTTACGCTGGGTTTGCATGATAGATACATTCGCCAACTATCCAAAGACAGACCTGGAATATGAGGACCGCTTATCTAACTTCTCTTCTTTATAAGTTATTTGTTGCCAATGCATAATTTTTCTAGTTGTAAGCTTATTCATATCTATGCCTGGCATACCCAACAAGTACAGGGTCCTGCAAACTCCCCATGCAGACAGCTACAACTCCTGTAATGCTATATAACAAAGACGTGTACCTGCTGCCCGGGATCAGCCCTCGAGTCACCCTGATATCGCCAGCCTGGTCCCCTCTGCTGTCTGACCCGTTAAGCCACACCAGGAAGACAAAAGTGAGTCTACAGAGGCCGATAGAAACAGGAAAACAGATGAAGCCAGGATTAGAAGTCTGCACTGGAGGTCAGATATTTTAAATAAGACAGAGCCATGTACCAAAAGAAGTCAACAGTGCAGAAGGAAAATGAGAATGGAGAAATGGTATCGGAAAGAAAACCAAGCAATTCATCCATCCAGAAAGTACGGACGATTGGAGTCCAAAGAATAATAAAAATAAGAGAGATGACTCAAAGCCCCGCACCAAGGCACTCTGTGACAAGAAGGAGAAAACAGACCCAGGGATCCGCAATCTACTAGGCTCTGGGGAAAGCAGGAGAGGGAACGGGGTTCCAGATGGGAACGGGTGACTCTGCCTCCCAATCTTATACCCAAGTTCCTCTTCCAGACCGTTGTGATCCAACACATCATCCCCCCAGTCACGAACAGAGCCCCCATACCTGTCACAGTGAGCCGGGTGCCGGTTGCAAAGTAGAGGGGCGAATTATAGGAACACAGCTGCAGGTGGCCTTGGTAAAACCCACCAGCTGTCCCAAGTCAGAGAGCGGGTTTCAGTTCCCTGGCAGCTGGATGGCCGCCACTCTGCCTACAGGCAGGATTCTAGACTACAGTAATTTCGTAAGGCACACCACGGGAGAGGGGCAGGAGAAAGGGACTCAGAAGGGACTCCGTGCAAACAAGAAGGTAAGATAACCCAGAGAGGTGAGGAGGAGACTTCTCATAGACTGAAGACTTCCTTTGGGGTAAAGAAACAGTTGCTGGTTCATCCCCAACAAGTGAAGGAATAGCTAAATTCCTCGGTGTCCCTTCCACCAGCGCTGGGGGTGTGGGGACAGGCACTCCGGCTCCAAGGGACAGCAGTCCCACCTTTTCAGTCCTATAGCTTACCTAGAACAGAGAGTCGAGTCCCCTTTCCAAAATGCAGAGCCTGGTTATTACACAGTACAACAGGAGAGTGACAAACCTCTCCCCACTACCCCTGCAGGCACTGTGGGGAGCCTTCCTTTGACCCCACACATTCCCCAGGGACTCCAGTACATTCTCTACCCTCTCATCCTCTCTGAGCAGCAACCTAGGCTGAGTTCCCAGTGCCTGCCTTCTCCAAGGAGCTTCCCTGCACCCCTAGGCTTACAATATAGCCTCCCAGGAAGGAAAGAAACCTTTTACATACCCAGGACAGACAGCTTGGTTCCATGACCGAAAAATAATCTTTCGTTGGAAACACAACATTAAAGCCTGGTGGTAAAACTGTCGCCTGTTTTCTGTCCCTCCTCCCCATGCCCACCTGCCTGCTGGCTTCCCTCATTCCTGAGGATGGTTTTACCTCTGGGGAGTGGAAGGACAATTAAGAGTTATTAACTAATATAATTGGCAATCAGTTTTCCTGGTGGGTCCATGCCTCCTCCTCTCCAGCATCTTCTGTCTGTGTGAGAGCACCAAAGAGCCAGATTGTGAGCAGCCTATGAGGGCGACTCCCAGGAGAGTTTGTCTGCACTTAGCAGGGTGCCCAGGCTTGGCATAGCCAGCCTGTGAAACACTGTAGATGGACACCCTTCCCTTCTTGCAAGCATGAAGCATGAGCACAGGGGCTTAGAGCTTCCTGACAGAATTGCACTGCCACACAGGGACCCCAGAGAGGCTGCCTCTGGTACACAACCATTTGGTTCTAACTTACCTACAACAGTGAGCCGGCTTCCTTCTCCAAAATAGACCGTGTTTCCAGAACACAGCCTCCCAGGTCCACTTCAAAAACCCCTCACTGTCTGTGAGCCCCCTCTCGTTTTTTTTTTTTTTTTTGATTTTTTTGTTTCTTTGTCCTCCATCCCAGGCTCATCTTGATTCAACCAGGAACCTTCAGATCACCCTCGCCGATTCTGCCTCCCTAGAATGTAGTCCCAGACACCAGCCCACTTCCCCCTCAAGCAAGATCCATGAGCTAGATCCTTCTGGTTCCCAGGACAGAGTCACACTTGTCATCCCACAACCCAATGACACTTAGGCCTTACCTATTACAGAAAGCCTGGTCCCCGAGCCGAAGGTGTAGTCGTAGTTTGCACATCAGAATACAGGAACTCGAAAAATGGACACAGAGGACATGCTTTGCCCTAAGATAGACCTGGAAATGTACCTGAAAGATATCTTACCTACAACGGTGAGCCTGGTTCCTTTACCAAAGAAAGCTTCTGTGTTTGCACAGTGCCTGGGTGCCAGGAGGAAAGCCAGCTTAACGTGTAAACAGAGAACGGTCCCGGCTAATGCCTAGAGGACCCCGGAAGGAGTGACACCCAAGCATGTGTTACAGATGCTGCACCAAGGGCCAGAGACACGGTTCAGCCGTTAAAGGCTAGGCTCTCAGATATTGCACCACAGAGCATTTTCATGTTAGACTTGTGAGGATGTAGAGCCTGGTAGATTCCATCCAGTGGGACCTACATCCCTTTCATGAAGGAATGTATATATATTCTCGGAGGGTCTGTCAAAGTGAGGTCGGCCTGCAGGGAGCAGGTTACCAGGACCAGAGTTGAGATCTCCTTGGCTTCCTTTGAGCAATCTGCAGAACTATTCATCTCTGGATCACCTTTCCATTGACTGCGGTTTGGTCCCATAAGGTTTGGTTGAAGGGGGCCTCCCTGCAGCCTTGGCCTCTGGGGCCCGCTAGGCCGTTCTTCTTACGCTTGCGCTCTCTCTGCGTAGGAGGCTTCTGTTGATGAGACCCAATTCTTCCCCGTGATCTTGGCCTGGCAGGCAGCAGGGTGAAGCGGAAGCATTCTGGATCTAAACGCATCAAGGCCCGGGGCCCAGGAGAGAAGCAGAAGACTGTGGGCCTTGGTACAGACAGAAAGGTTTTTGTAAAGGGTTCCCATAGAATTGAATCACCGTGCCCCCTGTCCCCACAATGTTACAGCTTTATACAAAAACGACCCACCCATAGATCCACCCCTTGAAGGCTGGAAGAAACCACCAGAGCAGCTGCTCCTCTGAGGGCAGCTGAAGTCAGGGAAGGTGACCTCGCCCCCATTGTGCAAGGTGGTGATAAGAAATGAGACAATACGGGGAGTTTCCTCCTCGCCCCCTGGCTTTCTTCTGAATGTCCTTTGTTCTTGGAGCTGGGCACAGTTGCAACGCTGCTGTTTGCCCAAGGGGCTGGGTGCCCTCTAGTATTCGCCTTTCTCTGGTTGTCGTCATGGAAGGGGACCACCCACCCTATGAAGAAGTAACAGCCCCCAATCCTGGCTCTGCCCTTGCCCCAAGGTTGTACGTCTCTCTAAGGTTATGTCTTCCTTCCAACAACAAGACTCTGCAGTATGCAGACTTTCTCCTTTTGGGACAGCCTTCTCAGGGGGTTACCTGGACTCGGGACTTCTTAGAATGATGGTGTAGACGCACCGTAATTTCCAGAAATGGGTATGAGGCAAAGTGACCACACATGCTGTTGTGTTGTTACTCATCCATTTGGGCAAAGGGAGATGGGGACAAGTCTCCATGGAGGTTGCACAGAGACACAGTTTGGAAATCATTCTAATACCATCACAGGCCCATGCGATCATAGCTGCATGGTAGTCTTCTCTGAAGACATTTTGAAGCATTGGTAGATGTTTCCTGGTTCAAGATGAGTCTGGAGGGGAGTGGAGGCACACATATCCTAGTATTGTAGGACAGAAATGGGCAGATCTGTGAGTCTGAGTCCAGTCTGGTCTATATACAGAGTTCCAGGCCAGTCATGGCTATCCTTTGAGACAAACTGACTCTGAAATCCAACCTGCCCTTGAATGTCCTGGGTATCCATGCCCCCCCCACCCCAATCCCATTGATGCTTCCTTTTATTGCCTGTTAAGCGGTGACTTAAAACCAAGATGAAGAAAAAATAGACTTAACTATGTAATTGTGTCTCCTTTGTATAAGAAATAGAAAAAGAATCAAAAGCTAGCTGAAAACTTGGGGAAATATTTGCAATTCTCACCATCAGGGCTAGATAATTCAACAGCTCAATTAAAAAACAAAGGCAAATAGCAGATGTTTTAGATGTCTTAGAGAAAAAGAAATCAAAACAGTGCTTAAGTGCAGGGAAAAGTTCTTACCAGGATAATAATAAGAAAAGCTACTTTGAAAGAATGCCTTGCAGCAGTGTGGAAAATTGGGCTATTTAGGGACTCTTTTCTTGGGGACTTTGAAGTGCAATAAAGACTTTAGTGTATCTGTTGTTAGTAGGAATATAAAATGATGAAAACAGCCTATATAAAAAATAACTAGAAAACAACAATGAAGCTATAAATGCTTTCTCATTTTTGTTTTCATCCGGAAATCTCACTCTGGGAAATTTACTTTGTAGGTACAGTTGGATACAAATGAAATTTTAGCACTTGGGAGGCTGAGGCAGAAAGATTGCTGTGAATTTAAGGCCCTCCTGGTCTACAGAGGAAGAGCTTCTCTCAAAAAATGTCCAGAAAGCTTAAGAATGAAAACGGTTTAATTGAGTGTGGAATAGCGGTGTCATGTCGGTGTGCTCTGTCACACTCACTGTTAGCTGGGGAAGAAGGTGCTGCAGGCCTGCATGGGTGTATGCGACCTTTTGTTTAACCAATGGAGCCAGGTTTAAGAATTAGCTAAGGAGACTCACAGTGGTGCTCTTTGAACTGGCTGCTGGGCAAAGGGGAGACAGCCTGAGTCAAGAGCAGTGGCAATTATTTACAATTCACAAAATTGACAATTCACAATACACAATTCACAACTCTACTGCAAGCCCGAGCCAAACAGCCAACCACTTTCAGTCATTTGGAAGACAGTAAAGTCTATTCTTTATCCCCCCCCATTTTATTTTGATCAATTTTTTTCACCTGTTGATTTCTCACCCAATTCTTATCCCTAGCAATGATTTACTCATTAAACCTTTTAATGAAGTAGCTGGGTAACTTAATATCATCTGGCCTTAAACATGGTACTACTGTACCACGTTTCTTAGTGTCACAGTTTTTGATTTTTTTTAGTTTGCTCATCTAGGCATTGAGACCAAATGTAATGGCAGAAACATTAAAAAAATCTATCTGTCTGTCATCTATATGTCTTCTGTCTTCTATTCTTTTATTCTCTCACTCAATAATTCATTCATCAATTCACTGTTTTTGTTTTTTACCTGTGCAAACAGCACAGCTCAATTGAGCAGCAATCAGATTGTGGTCATTCATACACATGGACAGCAGGGGGCAGCCTTTCCTTATTTAATTTCTTCTTTTCTTGTTTTCTTTTTTTCCCGGGAGTGGGGGTGGGGGGGGTGGGGGTGGCAGGGAGTCACCTTGTAGCTCTGACTGTCCTGGACTCACTGTGTAGAACAGACTGTACTGGAACTCACAGAAATCTGCCTGCCTCTGCCTCCCTGGGGCTGGGATTAAAGGCATGTAGCCCTAAACTGGCTTTTCACTTTATTCTTTTGTCCTGAGCCAGGTCACAGGAATGAATGGAGTTGACAGTGTAAGTCTGGGGCCCCTACCTGGAGAGGGTGGCCCTTGTGTCACAAGAATGGGTAGAGTTGCCAGGATGTCTACATAAAGACAAGGTCAAGGACTTAGAGCGTGTGTAGATAGAACTGAGACAGGATGGGTAGAGCTGGTGGTAGGAGACAAGTCTTTCTACCTAGAGACAGGGAAAATAGCACTCGTCGGGGATGGATGAAGTTGGCAGTGTGAGTCTGGTGTGCCTGCATAGAAGGGAGTGTGTTGGGAGCGATCATCGTTATTTAGAACCTCTTGCAAATATTGTCAGTCTTTTCTAAGAACAGTCCGTCCCCTCCCCAGCTTCCTAATGAACAGAACCTGGGCTCACAGGAATTGCTGACAGCAATCTACAGTTAGGTTACTCAGTCCAATCTACAGTTAAGTTACTTACTCAACCCTCCTCCCTGCAATTAGGCTACTTAGCACTAACACCTCTTCATTCCTGTTGCTCAGCCTCAGTGGTGGTCTGCCAGCACCCCTCAGTATGTGACCAAAAACACACTCCTTGGTACGTGACCAAGAACACTCTTTGGCCCGGTTACTAGGCAACGGCCCCTCTCTTATTCTCCTTCATCCCCCTACCTCATTTCCCCTATTTAAGCCTGTACGGATCTTTCATTAAACACAGCTTGATCAGAAGGTCTGTCTTGCTGTCAGTTCTTTGTATCTCTTGTTCCACCATTCCAGGTTCCCGTGGACTTGACCCCGTTGTGCCCTGCTGGTCAGGGCAGGAATGGAAAAGGGTGCCAGATGACAAGAAGACTTAGTGTGTGTGTGTAGGGTTTGTGGGTTGGGGTGGGGTGGCGATAATGGAAAGGGATTGCTAATACTAAAGACATTTTGAAATGTCACATGGATGCTTACTAGTGCAGAAACTTCTTAAATTATTTCTACATATACATAAATGTAGCCCATACTCTGGTGGTATACCACACATGCAAAAATATATGTGTGGCAAAAATTGGATTTGATGGTTATAATAAAGAAAAGAAAAGGAGACATGCTGGATAGGTAGGGAAGAAGGGTATATCTGGGAAGAACTGGAAGCATAAATACGATCAAAATGTAATGTATGAAATTCTTAAAGCACTAATTCTTTTTTTTTTAATAAGAGAATGAGCCTGGAAACAAGCCAGTTAACAGCATTTCTCCACCGTTTATGCTTTCAGCTCTTGCTTGAGTTCTTTCCCTGACATCTCTCAGGGATGCACCGTACCTGGAAGTGTAAGTCACTAAGTTACTTTTGGTCAGAGAGTTTTTATTGCACCAATAGGAAGGAAGGAAGCTAGAAGAAAGACAAAAGGGAGTCCTGCGTTCCCTGAGAAGAAGCTTGTAAGTGCTGTCTTGAACACTGTGGGAAACCACGGAAATGTTAAATCAGGAAGAATCTAATGAGCAAGAGCTTTCTATAAGTACACGGACTTCATGGAAGGCTGAGATTGGAGGAGCGCTTTCGGGAAGTGAATGGACGTGGGCATGGGTGTTTGTTGGTGAAAGTGGACTGGAAACATGTCAAAGATCAAGTAGGATGGACTCTTCCTGATCTGAGACCACACAGTAGAAAGAGAAGGGAGGCCATTAGTGGGCATGCAAATAATTAAGCAGTTCTGACAATAAACACATCTATCACCTGCTAAGTGTGGGATGGGTATATAAGCTTCTCTGAGTCTTTACTTTCTACCTGTGGAACCAGAATAACAATTACAGAAGGGAACATGAAGTAATTGTGATCACGTCTATGGAAATTCTCAAGATAGCACATGTATATTAGCATTACTGCGTGAGATAAACAGAAGGCAAATTACTCAGATGTGTGAGGGAATGTAAACCCAGAACCTCTTATTTCTTCGATAGAAACACAAGTGGGAATTGGGGATGACCGGTGAGAACTTATCTAAGTAGGACACCTGCTGTTAGGATGGAGTAGAACTGCAATGACATGAATATTTCTATGTAGAGAGCTAGCTACGCTGGTTCAGCCTATGGTCTAAGCATTCTGCAGCCTGAAGCAAGGAAATCCCAGGTTCAAGGCCTGCTTGGATTACGGAGCAAGGCTTTGCATCAAAGCCCGCAAACTGGATATGAGGGAGGGATCTCAGAAGCCAAGATGGTTAGTCATTGCTAAGATTTACACTGGGTATAAAGTGTTTCTGCTATAATCAAAGAAATTAGCCGCTTGTCGACCACAACAATGTACGCATAGGCTACAGCTCCAAGCTGCACTGATGCACTAAAGAAGAAAAATCTTTAGCTCCACTCTTCAGATGTGACTTTCCTTGAAAAAGAAAAATGATGCAAACTCCCTGTTGTGGTTCCACTGAATTTACTTTTGTGTGTCATATGTTGCTGATGATTATTCCATGAAAACTATTTTACAACCAGGATAACTTTCAGTGGAGAATCTCTGCCTGACCTGAAAGACCTCAGATAAGAGCTTCCATCCCAGAGCTAGGGGACTAGAGAGATCAGACAGAGGAACAGGCAGTGAGGGCAAATGAACTTTATTGATACGGGGACTGAGGAGGGGTTGGGGATTTTCTTAGTTGGCAGCAATTGTGCTCTGAATCCAGCTCACGTAGTTGCAGACCTTGGTGTACACACCAGGGTTATTTTTCAAGGCACAGCCATAGCCCCAGGAGACGATACCCTGGAGTTTTCCATTGCAGACCACGGGACCACCAGAGTCACCCTGGAATGGAGAAATACAGTGTTTAGGGAAGGAGCATGCAGAAAAGGATCACATCTACTCTTACCTTAAGACCCCATTCTAGCTACTTTGTGACTCCTTTCGATTTTCATGGAAGCACATCCTACAAGTCTTACTAATGAGATGAAATGACATCCAGAGTAGATCTCACTCCCCCTTGATGCCACTTCTAGTCACACAGCATTGGACGTTCAAGTTCAAATGCAAATCCTGGTAGAAGAGGGGTTTAATATGCAGAGGGAGTCCAATCACCTGGCAGGAATCCTTGCCTCCCTCCAGGTAGCCAACACAGATCATGTTAGCTGTGATCTCTCCTGGATAAGCAGCTTCACAGGCACTCTGAGACAGCACTGGGGCGTTCAGGCACTGGAGCAGGTCTGGGTTGTTTACTTTGAGGGAAGGTAAGGATCAAAGAAAGAAAAAATATACATTAGAGCACCCTGAGTATCAACCATTTGTCCTCACCTTAGGTAACCGTCAGAGAAATCATTAAGGGTATAAATTGTGGCAAAGAATTACAGCTTTCTAAATCTGAAAAAAATGACCACTGCTAATACTTCTTTCAGTATAATAACACAGTGTCATCTTTAGGTTACAGGGAGTGAACCTCTTGGTATTTTATATTCCTTTGGCACCAGCTATACTCTTCTTATAGTTGGTACTTCAAACATATTTGCAAGGTAAAAGCCAGTAAGTTTGAACCTAGAGACGTGACTGGCTTTGGAAAACATGGGGAGAAAGGGATCTTAGTAGGTAAAAGGTCTTACCACCAGAGCTGAGGGTGTTGCCCCAGCCAGAGATAAGGCACTGAGTGCCAGCAGCTGCACAGGAGGTGGGCAGAGATACGGTGGCCACACGGGCATTGAGGGTCACTGGGGAAGCGAGCTTGATCAGCATGATGTCATTGTCCAGGGTCCTCGAACTAAATTTGGGGTGCTTGATGATCTTGGAAGCAGTGACAAACTGCTCATTGCCCTCAAGGACGTTGATGTTATACTCTCCCAGTCTCACTTGGATGCGGCTGTTACGAAGAAAAGACAAGGTAGAGATTTTTCTATACGTTACCCAGGACACCCCAGGTTCCAAAACTTCATGCTCAGGGATGGCTCAAAGGAGAAGCTCTTCAGTGGTAGACAATTTCTAGCTAGGCACCCCGGTCCTTTTAACTGCAGAGAATGTTGGTATTAGCATATAAAGTAAAGGAGTGAAGTTCAGGCTGGTTTTTAACCTGCTGTACCACAGCTCCTCACACATCCAGGGATGTAGAACCAAGGTGACATTTGATGCACACATCACTCTCTGGTTCTTTGTTGCCTACAGTAGGAACTATGACTAATACTTCTTGCTTTGTTAAAAACTATCCTTATGTGGGACCTAATCTGGTGGAGCCCAAAGTGTTGTTCCAGGACCCACACCAATGTGACATGGGACCTTGAAAGAAGTTCACATTCTTGCTCCCAACTCCAAAACTATTGAGCCAGAATCTAGCCCTGGGATCAGTGTTTAAGAACTTTCGTTATCATTGTGATACAACCTTAGGACTGAGAGCACACAGTAAAGACTGCATTGACTTCTCCAATATTTAGCTGCATTTCTGAATACTTGGAGTTCATTATTCTTTGCAGGTGGTGGTCCTTGTATGAAGATCTTGCCTGACTTTCTCACTGGTGTTGGTGATAACAAGATAAACTCTTCTTGGTTTAATGACCCATTATCCTTGCTATTTTATGGACTTGTTTGAGGAAGTGAGAGACGTCCTATCCTGCATCAAATTTACTCAGCTCTCATGATATTTAACCGCTGCCAGCAACTTCTTTTCTTCATGGCTTTCCCAACTGACCTTACAACTTCACCACTTGTGAAAGTGCTAGGTTCTAACTGTGTCTCAGGCTGTGGACTCTGCACTCAGGATCCCATCACTTACGTCTTGTAGCAGTGAGCTGCAGACACCACCCACTGGCTATTGATGAGGGAGCCTCCACAGAAGTGGTAGCCAGAGTTCAGAGACACCTGGTAGGGCACAGAATTCTGCTGGCAAGTGTATCCTCCGACGATCTTGTCATCATCAACAGGAAAAGCAACTTGAATGGAGATAGGAAATGAGAATAAACCAATTCATCAGGGTACTGGAGGTTGAGGTCATTGGCTCTACGGCAGCTTAAACCCTTAGGATTTCTTACTGAGCACAATGAATGTAAGCAAGTCTGGATCACTCTGTCTCCAATAGGTAACATAGATTGTAGGCTTTCCCAGTATTTGGCTCTGTAGGACAGATAGGTAGTGCTCACAGGGCTCAGATATCTTCTGAGCATCAGGGTTGGGACAGCAAGAACTACCTAAGTATGCACTTAGTGTGACCCCACTAGAAGTCAGTTTTATCCAGGCCTGCTTTGTTTTTACATCTGTTACTTGTTTGTGCCAACACTGGCTTTTTAGAGTATCAGGACGATTTGACCTAGGCCAGCTTCCCACAGAAATCAGCTCTGTAGACGGAGTCCAGAACAGAAAGGAATAGCCAGCCAACTTAGACATATCAAAGGGAGGGCATAGCAAATGGCCAATGTAACAGCATTTTTAAAATTTCGTTGCACGCCCTACCAGTAAGATGAAGTTCACCTTGGGACTCCAAAACTCCAGTAAACAGACAAGACCCAGAACACATAAGGTCAGAACTCTAATGGTCAAATCTTGGGGGAAAATAAGTTTTCCATGCCTGCAGGCACACTTTTCTTTAAGAATAGCTATAGTGGAAGTATCATAGAGTTGGCAGAGCCAAGTGGCAGGTTGTGAGGGTTTATTTCGTGGAACCTCTACCAGGTCTACCTTTCAACACTCCCTGCTCTTGGCACCGATGGCAATGAAGACCGGTGATGAGAGCAGATGAAGGTGGGGGTGAGAAAGTGGGAAGAATGAGAGCCCAGGGAAGCGGGGAGAAGACTTGTGAGGCAGACGTGACTGCCAGAAGACAGAGACAGCGCTGGGACAGTTCATGCACTCTAGTTAACGGGATAGAAACAGCTTGGAGAAACGTATGGGACTCACCAGCTGCTCCAACAAGGGCCAGGATCAGGAGGGCACTCATGGTGGCAGAAGGTACTGAGCATGGGAAGGGAGCCTGCCTTTATAGCTCCCAAGAGGGAGAGGAGGGCGTAGAGTTGGGGTGGAGGGAGGTCATTGTCCTTTCCGCACAAACACAACTGCACATTTCTCTTTCCCAGGGTCTTGCATCAGCTTTTCTCTGTTTGCTTCCCTTGTCACTAGGACACTTACAGGTGACAAGGGAAATTTTTTTTCTCAGGCCAGAGAGGAAGAGCAATCGGTTCTTGGGATGACGCTGGCACAGAGCAGACAGGGAATGTCAAATCCCAGTGGGATTCCTTAGGCTGAGGAGACCACGGTTAGGAAGGAAGAAGAGTATCTAGGATCATTAGGAATCCTGTGACTTTGTGGATGTTAATTTAAGAAACGTCGAGGGTGGCCTGGACCTGATAGTTTGTGGGGTTGTATGGAAACTCCCTGCTAGGAACTCAGTCTTGTCTACACCTTTACCTGTGAACCCGACCAATCTACTGAAAGGGAAGATGAAATTAAAGGACCCTGAGTCCCGCAATTAGAACAGCAATGATGCAGAGTTCCTTATAAGTTTGGACTTTCAGTTGTCTCTTTTCTGACTAGGCTCATGAGTTGCAGGTGTCTTGAAGAGGATGGATGAACCCAAGTAGTTTCTTCCTTGATACATTACAGGAATGGAATACTCACTCCAAAACTGTGATCTTTTTTCCCCTTACTAACATCACGTATCATTTTTAAGAGTCACCAAGGCCCTAGAAAACTGCATTAAGTATAAATACCCCATATTCTAGGAAGATGCATCCTGAACTAAGAGTATACATGATGTTTGTAAAATGTTTGGACAGTATTTGGCCTGTGACCAGAGTATCAGCTGTGTATAGATGTGGAGGGATTCTGTAATTTTCTACTTTGTGTGTAGCAAGGGTGTTATGCTAGGTACAGCCCTCAATTTATTGAGGTAAAGATCTGACCAGAGGAGTTTATTTGACAGATGATGTGTTAATTTGAATCTATTCATATAGTCAGTTGGAGAAGCCTTGCTATCAATTGCTTATCTTTTGCTTTCTCCACTCCGGTCATAGGCTTAGGGAGGTGTGAGTCGGAGCTCACCAGTTTTCTGCAAGGTACCGGATGCTCTAGAGATGCTAAATAAAGGTAGAAAGACTTGGCTCTACTTGTGGCAATTGTGTTGGAGGTGGTAAGATGACTGTGGCTTGGAGACAGTAGAATGAACCACAGGGAAGGACACCATGGGGTTCAAGGGTTATGCTGTAGCTCCATGTCTGGTACTGTCAGGCCAGCGTTACAACAAAGTCCCTCTATCAGGTGCTCTCATTCTACACCCTATATCCCATCTAAGGAAGATCTATCATACTGAACCATGTATGACAGATTATCTTGGAATTCATGCATCTTTACTTTTCACAAATGCTTTAGCATGAGGTATTCAGAAAAGATGGATTCGCAAGAATTCATTTTTTTTTTACCCAAGAAATTAACCAAAAGCTGGCATGCTTCCCCAAGACTCCAAGAAAGCGTGGGGCTTGTCAGAGTGTGAGATTTTCTGCAGGTGGCTTTCAAACGGAAGGTCCCCATGGAACGATTTGCACGTCCACTTTCCTGTTGGCACTTGCCTCCCTGGCAAAGCACGGACACGGAATTTCCATTCCACCGGGCGGGCAGTTTGCCTCGGACACTTATCTTGCCGTGCGCTCTGACTGGGTGCATGCACCTCTGCGTTTGCAGGTGGATCGCAGAATTGAAGGATTTCACTTATCTGTGGTCTGGAATTTTCCACAGTTGTAGCTAGTGTGCTGCTTGCTGTGGTGGTCCTGCAGGACGACTGCTTTAGAGGTGAGGCTTTAGCTTCAGTGTCTGTCTACCCTTTTCCTCATGCCCTGACAGGTGGCCTGCAGTGAGGTCAGCAATATCTAAGAAATGCTTTTGGCTGAAGTGAGTTTTAGATTGGTCCTTGACACTCCGTGTGAAAGAAACCGTCTGAGGACATTAGCATTTCTGTGCCTCAAACTTGAACATCAATGAGCACTTGACGTACTGGCATAGGGTGGAGGCTTGCTGTTGTCTGTTTGGTTTAGAAGGCAGATGTTTTTAGCTTGAACATCATTGTTTTCATTTCCAGGTCTTCTCCAAACTCCTTAGCTCCTTCTTGAGCTCCAATTCCATTTACTGCTCTATAAGCTACTTACGAAACTCCAGGCTCGCTCCCTTTTGGATCTCAACTCATTGCCTCCATTATTTTTCTCCTTCCAGCACAATTTCACTTTATCTGATGAAGTCTGTTTCCTGAACCAGTTGTCCTGCATTCAATAACTTTGGATCGTAAAGAGTACTTTGTGTTATCACTCACACACACACACACACACACACACACACACACACACACACACACATAAATTCTGAAGCTTTAGACAGAGGCTTAAGGGCTTAGGTTAGTCCTGGGTGATCAGCTAACTGGATTAGATCATTGTCTTTCTGCAATACCTCTCATTTGAGTTTATCAATAACACAAAAGCTTCATGCCCAGTGAAACGTCATTTGCACATTGTATTTATTCTCAGATTTAATTCACCGTAGTAAAGCAAATGGAGAAGTCTCTATTGATTGCATATTTGTTAAGGATAGATTGAGGCTTCAGATAAGACAGCATGTTAGAATTCTCCCCGTGGCACACATTCATAAGAAGAGTCGGGGTAATAAGGGAGAGCCTCCATGAAAATATCGATGCCCCATCTCTGAGAATGCATAGCCAGACACCATCTTGAGTGTTGGAGACCTCGAGTCTTTAGGCCAAAGCACAAGTCCTGGCCTCAGTAAGTTCCCATTTACCAGGTCTCAGTAAGTTTCCATTTCTCAGTCTAAAGCCATTTCTCAGGTGACCCCCTGCAGTCAAGCTATATACCCAAGGTAGCCCATCTCTTAATGCTTCCTGCCTTTAACAATATCCTGCATTCATCTGCCCCATCCCCTACCTCAGTACAAGCTCAATAAAGGGAGCTTGATCAGTCATGCTATTTGCTCCCATTCTTTGTGTCTCCTGTCCCCCATTTGTCTCCCCCCAGGGTAGCCCACGTTGGCTTGTTCCCGTGGGTTGGGGTAGAGTGGTGCCCAACGTGAACTCCTGGTACAGGATCCTTGACAAAGTTGCTCACATTTGGATGGCAGTCCCCCTAGCATCGGAGAGGGGAACCTGTCACTCTGGAAACTCCTCGGTGTCCATCATTAGAAGAGAGGAAGTTCTGCTCCTGATTGCCACAGCCTACCCACCTGTGAGACAGATCTGAGGCGAGTCGAGCAGCCTTTATGGGACGGGCATGTATCAAAACATGAAATGTTTCTCCAGGACCTTAAGGAAGGCCCTCAAGACACCGGGAACTCAGGTTAAATTCAAGGATCTTAATGTATATGATTAGAGATATGAGACAGAGAATTATTGGTCAGATGGTCATATATTTACTTGTGTATATTTTTTAGTAGCCAGGAGAGCTGAAATAAAGCAAAACCAACTACAGAAAATTTTAGAGTTTTTTAAAAGGATCTCTCCCTCTAGGAGAAGCCACCGCTGCAGCTGCATCAGAGCTGCACCAGGGCTTGGGAAAATAAAGGTTCAACCACGCATACATAAAGGACAGCAGAAAGTATCTGTCCCTGAACTAGTTAGCAGTGTGATAGAGACCTCCGCACCTACTGAACTGAGGAGAGGTTAGATGAGAAAGAACATACAGGGCAGAGAGATTGGGGTGAGTATAAGAGAGAGTTTCTAAATATCAGGATGGAGAGACTTCACCTCCCTCATTTTTAACTAGAAAGACAGAGAGGCAGAAACCCAATGGTGAAATTCAGCAGAAGCCAAGAGGCTTTAAAGATTTAATAAAATGGCTCTCACAGGAGATAAGGAAGGACAAGGCCAAAACCTAGGAAGCTCACAGCCTTGAGAGCTGCTGCCATGGCTGATGCCCAGCCAAATGTATTGAAAATGCTATTTATACAGCCAGTCAGAAACTGTTTTAAGACCTTAATAGAGAAAGAAAGACAACATGGATAAATGTAGATTTGTTCAGATTTTGGATGCTCATGATTCAAGGATTGGCTATAGCTGCTGTGTTCACAAGAGATTTCAATTAGAGAAGTTTCATTTCAACTAACCAATCATAACCTAGGCAAAAGGAGAGATGAGAGATGTGTGCATGGCCTGTGTGTGTGGTGCGGCCACACCGGTATGTATGGAATGTGATTGTGAATGCGTGAATGTTGACAAAAGGAACTGCTCGAATGGCCTTTAATTTGATTAAAAGGATATTTAAATTGCTTCAGATACAGTTAAAAAGCTACCTAAATTTCTTTGTAAATAGCCAAAAGGAGCATCCAGCCAGTCAGTCAATGTCTTAACAGGAAAGGTTGGTGATTTGAGGCCTCACAGCCAGATGGTGAAAAAATAGCAGAAACCTGCAGCACGACGTAGCAGCCAAGAAAATCTGTATGGATGATTCCATAGAGTTTAGCTGAGGAGAGGATACAGAGAGAGCCTCCTAATTTTTTATGATTAAAAAAGAAAATCTAGAAAATGGGAGTTTCTGAGAAGTCTCAGGGAACTGCCATCCTGTTAGACACATCCACAAAGGTGTCAGTGTAGATGCAAATTAGGCCACATCAGCTAAGATGCAAATGAGGTCTTGTCAGCCCGTGAGAACTTTACAGGTTGGATTAGGAAAGACTGCTCACAAACCCTACGTAATTTTCAAGAGTTATTAGGCTATATCTTATAGCCTAAAGAAGTTAAGCCTCAATAGAAATTAAAAAGGATAGTTTGCAATCTTTTGAGTGATTTCTCAGAAGTTGTTGGGAGATATTCAATGGTTATATCCCATCTATTGGTGATTTAAAGCCTTTCAATGAGATTCTAAAAGAAGATGGTGATCCCAATTCACCAAGACAGTTGGCTAAGGAGGGTAGACAAGTTCTTCTACTGTTAAAGAGTGTAATCCAACGCCAGCAGATATGTTATATTAACAATACAAAGCCATGGAAAGCTTATGCCAT